AGCTACAACGCGGCGCCCTGTGGCCGTCTGCGCCGCCGCCTTTGGCTCACTATGGAGAACCCCGGCTACTCGCTGCCCAGCAAGCTCTTCAGCTGCGTCTCCATAGGCGTGGTGCTCGCCTCCATCGCTGCCATGTGCATCCACAGCCTGCCCGAGTACCAGGCCCGAGAGGCGGCGGCCGCCGTGGCTGCGGTGGCCGCAGGCCGCAGCGCCGAAGATGTGCGCGATGACCCGGTGCTGCGACGCCTGGAGTACTTCTGCATCGCCTGGTTCAGCTTCGAGGTGTCGTCGCGCCTTCTGCTGGCGCCCAGCACACGCAATTTCTTCTGCCACCCTCTCAACCTCATCGACATCGTGTCTGTGCTGCCCTTCTATCTCACGCTGCTGGCCGGCATGGCGTTGGGTGACAGAGGCGGCGGGGGCGGCGAGGAGATCGGCGACCTGAGCAAGGTGGTGCAGGTGTTCCGCCTTATGCGCATTTTCCGCGTGCTCAAGTTGGCCCGCCACTCCACAGGGCTGCGCTCGCTGGGCGCCACACTCAAGGTAGGGCCTCTGAGGCCGGGTTGGGGTAAGGGGGAGGTGGGTGTAGCTATTGGGCAGGTTAGCAGATGAACTTACAAGCCTGCCACATGCAGGCACACACTGAACTGAGGCCTTTGTGCCAGGCACAGGGCTAGAGGCCAGGTGTACATTTCACATTATCTAACCTTCTGAACAGCCCTGTAAGGAAGGGCTTTTTGTTATATCTATTTCCCAGGAAGAAAACTGAAGCATAGCTTTGCTATGTGTGAAGCATAGCTTTGCTATGTGTGAAGCATACCTTTGTCTTTCTTTTCCAAAACAAAAACAAATCTATTTCCCAGGAAGAAAACTGAAGCATAGCTTTGCTATGTGTGAAGCATACCTTTGTCTTTCTTTTCCAAAACAAAAACAAACAAACAAAAAACCAGACAAACAAAATACAAGACAAAGGTCACTTTTGATAAATCTGTCAAACATGAAATAATACTTAGCACAAAAATATACAAAGCAGAATGCTAACTGGCTTCTCCACTATAGCCCTTCTTCTGGCATCATCAGGGAGCACAAATAGTCATAGGTCACTCTTAATAGGCTAAGTCTAGGAATAGCCCTGGAGCTAACACTTACAGAGCACTAATTCTGTGCCAATTTCACATCCATTATCAATTTAGTCCTTAGGACAACTTCCTCAGGAAGATGCTATTATTTATTCTCTTCCCGTAGATGAAGAACCTGAGGTTGGAGGGCTGGCTTTTTAAAGCCTGGTTGCTCTTTATTGAGAACTGTCTTTGTGCCAGGTGCTGTCCTGGGGGTGGATTACTGCCCTGGCAAGCTTACACTCCAGCGAGTGGAATTAGCCTGGTTTAGGGAGGGAGGTGATGTGAACGGCTTGTACCAAGGCCTGGAGAGAGAACGGGATGACTACTGGGAAGGGGGACACGCAGGAAAGGGGGTGCCAAGAGATGAGGTTGAAGAAGTTAGTGGGACAGGGTACTGAAAGGCCATGAACTCTTGGCCCACGATTTTGGACTTTATCTCAGGGGTATGGGGGAGCTTAAAGGACTTTAAGCATCTGCAAGTATTAATGTCACTACTTTGCAGATGTGGAAACTGAGGCTCCAAGAGGTGACAGGACTTGTCAGGGTTTCCTCAGTAAGTAAGTGGCAGAGCCAGAGAAGAACCTAGCTGTGCCTGGCTCCAGCACCTCCTGTTGTTTCTCCTAAAGCTCCAGGTAACGCTGTTAAAGATCCATAGAAAATGCTCAAAGATTCTCCCATCCATGGCTTAGTAAAGCCTCTTGCATGTCCTTGTGGCAAGGCAGCCAGGATACTATAAGCCAGTAGGTGACCAGGGCAGAATCCTAGGGCACTGAGCAGATACAGGGAAGCCCATTAGCCAGACCCCCTGAGCTCAGCATCTGTCCAGGGAAGATCTCTCTGCCCCAGAGTACTGCCTTGTCTCCACCATGCAGAGAGCCAGGGCCTGATGATACTAGCTTTGTCTGCAAAGAGGGAGGTTAATCAGGGCTGCCAGGGTCCCAAATACAGATGTAAGATACTCCCGGAGCCTTGCTACTCAAAGTGAGGCCCCTGGCGAGCAGCAGCTTTCTCATCACCTGGAAGCTTGCTAGAAATGCAGAATCTTTCGCCTGACCTACTCAGTTGGGTTCTGCCTTTTAAACATGATTCTTGCATGATTCCTCCACATACTACAGCTTGAGAGGCCCTGCTCTAGGCTAGGGGTTCTCAGCCTTGAGCTATTGACATTTGGGGCCAGATCATTCTTTGTTATGGGGGGCTGTCCAGTGCATTGTAGGGTGTTTAGCAGTATTTGTGGCCTTTACTCACTAGATGACAGTAGCACACCTGTCCCAGTTGTAACAACCAAAAATGGCTCCAGACATTGCCAAAGGTCCCTTGGGGGGGGGGGGGG